TATATTGTATATATATATATATATGTATATTACCTTTAATTCTTCAAACAATTGCGCTGTAGCATGTGGACTGGGAGACCATACAATTTTTAACTTAGGAAAATGAAGAGTTAATAATTGCAGTTTTGCCATTATGTCATTACTTTTAAGATCTTTACTAACATAATAATTTCCCTAAAACAATAAATGTATATTATATAACAATATGTATATATTTTTTATAATTATATGAAGAAAATTATGCTCACACATATTTTTATGTTATTTTTATAAAATTAGATACCTGAAAACAGAATGGTTTATTTTGATCAAATTCTATGAGAAGCATGGGTTTAGCATAGTGCCTTGTCATAGAAACTGCTTGATTATACAATCTCCCGGAAAGTAAAGAACCAATTAAATCAGATATACTTTTTCTCTCAATACATATTTCTGGTGTTAAAATATAATCACCGACCTGTAACATTATAAATCATATAGAAACAATATTTTATATCAAAATACACTTTTATATATTTCACTTACCACTAATGTCACTGGTTCGATTCTTATACCGCGCGTATAGAGAATAGCTGGTAACTCACTTCTAAATTCTCTCATATCGACAATAACTTTTGGAATTATTTTGACTTCAGATTGTTTCCCTCCTTTACGCGTATTTTCCTGATTTGCATCATCTGATTGAATTGCAAAAGCCAAACAATCATCTGATTTTCCATCTTGATCTTCTGGTACAACCATGGTCTACAAAATAATAAAAATTATTAATTACATAGTAACACTTGTTCAATAGCATATTGTTTTTTGTGAGATAATCGGAATACTCACAATTTTCGTAGTAATCAAAGACTCAAATGCTTCCTTTTCTCGTCGTAAAGAAGTAAGATATTCTTGTTCCTCAATCGATCCACCATATATTAAAAAATACACTTTCAAATCTAACGACGGATTATTATTCTGATATATCTCTAATTGTCTCACAATACCGATATCGTTTGCATACAAAATAATATTGTTTGGGATATGCTCGGTTAACATTCGTTGTAAGGCCATTGGATCTCCTCCTTTTTTTATGGCTTGTATGAAAACGATAGGTGCAGATGCTGCATAATGTTCTCTAGTCAAATCCAATTCTGCAAGCTTTAAAATCAGAGAACAGAATTAATAAAAAAACATTTTGTTTAATACAAAAATTATTTTCTATGTTATAATATGTACTTGCGAACATTCTTCAAACAATGTCTGATGTTTTATTTCTTCTTCTGTAGAAGTACTGGATTGAGTTCCTTCTACGCATTTTTGTGACAAAGTGAGCACATAAGTATCTTGAGTGTCTTCCGTTTCTTCATCTGTGTTACTTTCAGATGTTGATGGCTGATCTTTCATTTTCTTTCTACTATCGTCACTTGTTTTTTGTTCTTTATGTGATAATTTTTTCAGAGCTTCATAAAGTAAGTATTCATTTGCACCCATGGTTAAGTAATTCTTTAATTGGCGACATATATAATTATCGTGTACCAAGATAAGAACTTTATCAATATTTTCATAATCTTTTTTCTTATGTTTCTGTTCTTGAATCTCAAACAAAACTTCTGATAAAGCTTCCCATTTTGGGTTTGATTCTGGTTTCAATTCATTTTTTTCTGTATAAACTCTGCTTCTGGCATACTTAAATAGATTCTCGAATTCATCCAACATTATCCAACCACCGGCTTTCATAGCATATTCCATAGTCCGTAAACGATTTAGCATGGCATAAAATGAAACAGAATCTTCGTACGTTAAAGATATAATAAGGGAACGTAATGTTTTTAAATCAGAAAACAACTGTTTGGTCGTTGTACTAAGCTGATGCCAAATTGGATCTATTTGCAAATGTAATTGCTTGTGAAATTTCTTTGCTATTGCATTTTCCACAGTCATTTCGTCTAAATCTAAATATTTATTGAGCCTCTTTAATTCTTTTACAACATAATTCATAACATCAAGCAAAGTACTTTGAATGCTTTGCATCTTTGGTGTAATATGCACGTGTAATTCTATAACCTCGGGTTCATGCTTAGACAAACAATTATTAATTGTTGCATGGAAACGCGGCCATAAATATAATCTTTTAACGAACAAAGCTTTCATAACCCGCTCTACTTTCGAAAATCCAACTGTAAAAGCTAGTGACGAACTTGTGAATGCCTTGATAAATCCAGTCTTATTATTTTGTCTGTATAAACGCAATGCAAATGCTTCTTGATAAGCATTTAGTATATTGTGAGCTCTATAGACGAGAATGCCAGTGACCAAGTGCAATGGAACTCTATTTTTTAACAAATCTACTACCAAAATACGACCTGATATAAAGAGCACTCCACCTTCCAAATACATTATTTCCCTGTTTAACAATTTATTATATTAAGTGTAAAACATTACATGTAAAACAGGAATATTTTTAAAATTATACCTTTCGTTAGAAGAACATTCTGCATTGACTACAAATGGTAATCTACTTGTTCCATAACTTTTAAGCAGATCAATAAAATAACGTTCATCATAATCAGTGGTTCCCAGGACTATTACTAGATTTCCTGGATCTAAATAAGCTTTTATCACATTTGCAAAAACAGTTTCTATACCAAGACCCCTATAAACATTTTCCAATAAATAATAAAATTATATTCTTACATGAGATCTGATACAGCAAAGATACAATATACTTACTTAGCAGTAATAACTAATCCATCCTCCTGAACAATGTCAAGAAAGATTTGATTTTCATATTCCAACATGACTATCGAGAGATAATTTTCAATTCAATTTCTAGATTTCTTAATTGCTCCAGCAATTATTTCAAAACAATAATTCAAATAAGAG